GCCCTTGGATCTGTTCCCTCCTGCATTTTGCCTCTTTCAACACCAAGGTGCCACCTCCTGCCTCCGGTCAGCCCCAGGCTGTGGCCCTCCCACCTCATTGCCAAATGTCACCTCATGGCACCTTGGGGATGCCCCAGCCTGTGACAAACACACCATAAACATCCACAGATCCATTTTTCCGTGGTGACAAAGGGCCAGAAAATGCCTCCTCCCCATGACCCCTGATGCCTTCTGTCCAGGACTCTTTCCTCTGAATTCCTGGTTGGCATCAGCCATGTGTTCTGGGACCAGACAGCCTCCAGGCTGTTGCCAGGGCGGCAGGGATGGGAATCACATCAGCAGCTGCCCAAGAAATCAACCTGCATTTGTCAGCACGAATTCTTAGCAGCTTAACTTGTCAGATTCACAGAGAAACCGTCACCAAATGTTTATGTGCAAATGATGCTGAATTTTGAAATCATGTGGATTATGGGGAATGGGGCCTGACAAGCTGACAGCCTCTGGTTTGTAACAAGGAGGCGCGTCACCAGCGCGGGGCAGAGGATGTTTATTGTTACACATTTCTTAAAGTGTCCGCGCAGAACCTCCCGCTCCCACTTGAGGCAGCTCTCAATCCCTGGCCTGCCTTCCCACTGAGCCCCCAGGTCCCTTCCCTCCAGCACAGGCCAGCCCGCCATCCCCAGCCCCAACACCGTGGCCATAGCCCGCGTTCCTGGCCACCCTCCCCTTCCCCTTGTCCTGCTGCTCCCTGCGCAGCCAATCTGGGCCCATGTTGGGCTCCCATAAACTCTGTTTTTTCCATTCCCGTCCTGGCTCGGAGGCACTGTGTTTCCTGTGCTCATAGGAACAGTACTCTGGTCACAGGACCCAGCTGCTTACACATACCCCATATGCTTCCCCTGCCTCGCACACACGTAAGCGTGGCTCCCACATCCCAGCCCGGCGCGTTGCGTGCGGGGCAGCTCATCCATCTGGGGGCAAGATCCCTTCGGTTCTTTCTCAGGCATCAGCTCTCAGTGTCTGTCTGAGCCCCAGCCAGAAACGCCTCGGTGTCAGTGGCGACTCCAAAAAAGCTCCACAAAAAATAAGGGGTGGCTTTAGATCTTATAATGAGATCAACAGAATAATAGCACCAGCTTCCTGCTGGAGCCAGGGTCTCAGGCCGTCTTCCTGGCCTGGGTCAGGCAGGGACCTCCTCTTCCCAGCCTGTGGCCTGTCCACCACCCTGAGGGCAGTGGGCAGTGGTCACAAATCGTCCCTGGGCAGCACAGAGAGGGGAGCAGATGCAGGGCTGTGTCCGAGGCCCACCAGGAAGCTTGGCAGGGAGCAGGGCGCTGAGAGCCGGGAGCAGGGAGGGAAGGGGGCACACCGTGGGATGGGTGGGAGGCCTGGGGCAGCTCTGAGCCTCACGGTGCCCCGTGTGTGTGTCTCCTTGCAGACGATCCCATCCGTTTGCTCAGGGAAGTGGTTTTGCTGACGGACGACCGGAACCTGCGAGTCAAAGCGCTGACCCGCAACGTGCCGGTGCGGGACATCCCCACCTTCCTCAAGTGGGCTCAGGAGGGCTGAGGAGGCCATGGGGGGCCCAGGGCCCCTGAGCGAGTCACGCAGCCCCTGACGGTGGGAGCCCGGCTCCAGCGGCCGCCTCGCCGCGCCGCCAGCCCACCACGAACAATAAACGCCACGTCTTCAACCCACCCCAGAATGGCCGTGCTGAGAAGGGCCCCCCGAGGGCAGAGCAGCTGGGAAGGTCATTGCTGTGGATGGTTCACGTGGAGGCTGGGCCCTTGAGGGTCCCGCCAGCCTTTGGGCGGTGCCAGCGCGGGGCTGGAGAGCCCCGCTGGCGAGGGAAGCTTTGGGTGAGCCCTGTGCTGGATCACCAGCCTTTTGCTTGGTTTGCTTGGGTGCAGAGAGCTCGAGTCACGCCTTGGTGGCTCTTTGGGTGTGGAGGCTGCGTAGGGCAGAGATTGGGGACACGCCGGCACAGGCTTTGGGGTTGTTCAGTCCAGCCTGTACCCCTTGGAGAGGCCATGGATTTCAAGGGCAGGTTTCCCCCTGCCCCAGCCTGTTTTGTCCTGCATGGCCAGCCAGCCCCAGGTCCCCATCGCCCTCCCCACCGTGTGCTGCCCCATGCAGGAGCGCTGCTTGCAGAGGGGTTTGTCCTCTCCGTGGTGCGGGGTTTGCTTGTTGAGTTTCATTTTTTCAGTGTAGGTTAGTTTTCAGGTGTGTGCCCTGCCTGCTTTGCTGGGGGAGGCTTTGAAAACCCCCACAGCTGCTTTGTCCTGATCCCCTGCCCACCCCAGCTGTTACTTGCCCCTTCCCTTCTCCCCCAAACCCCTCACTCCTACCCTGCTACCTTTAGGCACGCTTTTGACCTAAGGCTCAGTGTGAGGCTAACAAAATTCTCCAGGGACCCCAGGACCAGCTGTCCCATGGGTACTGTGTGTCCTCACATTGCCACAGGCCCCTCTTCATGTGGGATCTGGCTTCTGCCTATGGCTGCAGAGTCAGAAAGTCCCACAGAAGTGCTCAGCCCCACTATTTGCTAGCTGAGAGGGTCCATGGATGGAGCCATTGCCTTGTCCTTGGTCATTTTGCACTTGGAGTTGGGGTTGGGGTGCTGCTGAGCCTTCCACGCCCCACGTTGTCCCATCACCAAGTGTCCCCAGTGACACAGCAGATACAGAAGCTAAGAGGGAGCATTAACCCCTGAACCAGAGCCCCTGGAGCTCTGTCAAGTCCCGGTCCCATGAGCCAGGGTGGGAGCAGCCCCAAGGCCACCCCTGGTCCCCGCTGGGGCGCCGCAGCCGTGGGAGGGAAGTGTCAGAGGTGGCAGAGGAAGAAGCAGGACAGAGCCCCGCGTTTTCCTTTCCTGTGTGGGTGGCTCAGACCCAGAGTCTGCATCAGGAAGCTCAGTTACCCCTGTGGCAGCCCCAAGCCCCACGGCAGGGCCAGCAGCAGGGTCAGAGCCTCGGCAGCGCGACGGACACGCGGCTTGTGCCAGAGCAGTGCCCAGCCCGGGCACCGGGCACCGAGACTTTGGGGTGCTCACGGCTGCTGTGGGGCACAGGGAGCCTTTGGCACAGCACCCACGCCCCGATTCCTTGCCCACAGCCGTGCTGGCTGCCAGCTTTGCAGAGACTTTGCCTTCTCCTCCACGCCGGGTGTGTTTCAGTGTTTGTTTCCTTGCGGCTGCCCCAGCGCTGCTTTCCGAGCCCTTTCCGAGGTACCAGCAGCCTGGAGGGCCCTGCAGCTCTGCCAGGTGTGTCACAGGCTCGGCCATGGGACAGTTTTGGTGCCACCAGACCAGGTGGCACAACGGTGAGCAGAGCCTGAGCGCCTGGAGCCATCCCTGCCAGGCTGCTGGGAGCCCTTGTCTTGGGGCAGCGCTCGCGTTCGGGATGTTAAGTTGGTTTTAATGATTTTTAGTATTAAACATGTGTCAGTGCAGCGTGGTGTGTCATTTGTTGTCAGCCCGTGAGTTGCTGCTGAGGTTGGGGTGGGGGACACCAGGGAGGGACAGCAGTGGGACACACTGTAAGGGTGACAGCAGCTCTGTCCCACCTGCATCTGCTGCTGCCCCCCAGCTGAGCGGGTCTGTGCTAACCAGATGCACAACAAAGCCCCTCGGATCCCCTCCCTGCAGTTCTGCACCCCCAGGCGACCCCCGGGGTCACTCCCAGCTCAGCTTCAGCCCTGCACCAGCCAGGCCCCTTCCCAGAGAAGAACGCCAGGCCACGCGTGTTAATGTCACTTTATTGCTCATTCCGTTTCGACTATAGAAAAAAAAAAGGGCGAGAAGCCCGTGTACAAATTGGACGTGATACAGGGGGGGCCGGGGCCCCGCTGGGCGCTGCCAGCTGTGCTTTGGGTGCTGCCACCGCCAGCAGTCACCCCGCGGCAGCTCTGGGGGACACTGCCGGCCCCGGGGGACCCGGCCAGCCCCGGGAGGCTCGGGGGCAGCCGGGCAGGAGCGGCCAGCTCAGGCTAAGGCACAGTGGCTGCGAGGCCGGGGGCAGTCGCTGCTGGCGGCCGCCCGGAGCCTCGTGTGCAAAGGAGAGGAGGGGGCTCAGGAGGGGGGAGAAGCTTCACATTAGCCCCAACGGAGGGGTCAGGGCACGGGCCGGGGGGGTCCAGGCTGGGGGGACTTGGCCCACACCGAGCAGAAGGTGGGAGAGGGGCTGCGGTGGCGGCAGGAGGTGCCCGGGGGGGACTCGGCCCCAGGTCACATGCACCCCCCGGGCTCTGCCCCACGGACCCCTCCCGCAGCCCCTGCCCACCTCCCGTAGCTGACAAACCAGAGACCGCTTTGTCTTTGTCGTGGACCCCCCGGCCCGGCCCGGCCGCGCTGGAGACGGGCGTCTTTGGCAAAAAATAAAAAAATAAAAAATAATCAAGGCGAGTGGCCGCCCGAGGGCGAATCCGCCGGGTCCCGGGGCTGGCCCGGGTGCCCCGGGTATCCCTGATGGCGAGGCAGGGCCCAGGGGCTCAGTCTGGGACAGGCCCTGCCCCACCTCCCAAGACCACGGGGAGCAGCCGGCCGAGCCCCTGCGCTCGGGACGGGAGGTCAGTGCTTGCTCCGGGGCGAGGAGCATCGCGATTCCCGCCTCGCCGCTCCCCCGTCCCGCGCTGCCGCTCAGACCCCACCGTCCCCTCCGTCAGTCCGTCCCCGAGCCCCCGGGGCGTGCTCGGGCGCACAGCCCCGGCCCAGCGCCGGCCGCTCCCGCTCAGCACGGAGCCGTCGCTCCGGCCCCGACGGACGAGCTACTCACGGCCGCGGCACAGTCCGGGTCCCGTCGCGGCAAAGCCGAGCGCCGGCGGGTCCCACCGTGGGGCCGGAGCCACGCGGCGCTGCCGAGGGCGTCCCCTCGGCCGGGGGCAGCCCTGAGGTAAGGAGCGGGCTCATGTCCTCCAAAGCCTCGGGCCGCAGCCCGGCCTCACAGCTTGTGCGTCGCTGCCGCCCCGTGCCGGGGTCCCGGCGCCCCCCACGGCAAGGGGCGGAGGTGCCGCGGGGTCAGTCCCTGATTTATCGGCTTCTCCCGGGCAAGCCGGGGCGCTGGTCGAGGGACACGCCGTCCATCCATCCCGGAGCAGCTCGCATGGGACCTTCGCTACGAGCGAGTTCTCCGGGACCGTCGGCAGCGCCTGGGGACGAGCACCCATCGCCTCTCGCCCCCCCCCAGCTCCACACGGGGCAGCGAGGGGAGCCCAGCGGCCCCCCCAGCCCCCCGGCCAGGCCGGTGCTAGGGGGGCGAGTATCGCTCTATGGTCCGGGCGGCCTCGGTGTGCAGGTGTGGAGCCTGCGCCAGCACCTCGGCCGCCTTGTCCTGGCTCAGCCCCAGGTGCTCAGCCGTGAACTTGGCCAGGGGGTAGAGGCTCTCCATGGCCTTGGGGTCGCTGAGGAAGTGCGAGGTGTGGGACAGCAGCTCGGCCGCCTTCTCCTGCTTGAGCCCCAGCTGGTCGGCGGTGAGCCGGGCCATGGCGTAGACGCTGTCGGGGAAGTCCAGCTTGGCTTTGCCGTCGGGGCCGGCCGCGTGCATCTTCATGTGGCTGATGAGGTTGCGCTGCTGGGCGAACTTGCCGCCGCACACCTGGCACTCGTAGGGCTTCTCGCCCGAGTGGATGCGCATGTGCTCGGTCAGGCGGTACTGGCGGGTGAAGCGCATCCCGCAGGCATCGCAGGCAAAGGGCTTCAGGCCGAGGTGGCTGCGCATGTGGCGGGTCATGGTGCCGCGCTGCGTGAACTTCTTGCCGCAGATGGTGCAGGGGTAGGGCCGCGTCAGCCAGTGCGTCTTCTCGTGCTGCCGCAGCGTGGCCGGGTCCTTGTAGGACTTGTCGCAGGAGGAGCAGCGGTAAGGCCGCAAGATGTCACCCAGCCCTGGGCCACCTTTGTCCAGGAAGGGCACGGCCTGCTCGGCCGCCGCCTTGTGATAGAGCTCCTCTTCGTTGTGGGCCTCCACGTGGGCGTTGAGCTGCTCGGAGCTGGGGAAGCCCTTGCCGCAGGGGATGCAGACGTACAGGTTGTCGCCCAGGCTCTCCGGCTCGTAGCCCAGGTGGTTGCAGTAGCGGTCCAGCGCGTCGCCGGGCGAGGGGCCCTCGCTGCTGCCCGTCTCCTCGCTCGTGCTGTTATCAGGCTCCAGGTCGTTGCTCTCCACGCTGGGGTAGCGGGGCTGCGGTGCCGCAGGCGGCGATTCGGCCTTCTCCTCCCGCTCCAGCTCCTTCTCCGCCTCCCCCTCGTCCAGGTAGGGGCCCAGGGGCTCGTGCTTCATCCAGCGGTACATCAGCTCTCGCCCGTCAGCGCGGGGCAGCGGGGGCTCGGCGCAGGGCGGTGTGCTGCGGAAGGGGTCGGGGGCGTGGGGGTGCCCCCCCGGCTCACCGCCCGGCGGGGAGTCCTTGTAGGCAGCGGCGTGGCTGCCCAGGAGGCCGGCGCTGACGGGGGGGCTGTCGTGCCGTGGGGGCAGCGAGGGCTCGCGGGGCTCGCTGGGCAGCAGGCGGTCGGTGGGCAGGAGCTGGGCGGAGGGGCCGGTGGGGCTCTTCTTGGACAGGTCGAGGCCGCAGGGCGGCGAGCAGTGGCGCTCGGGCGGGCACAGCCCGTGGGGGTGCAGCGGGGCGCCCTGGGCGGCCGAGGCGTACAGCTCCCCGCACTGGGTGTTGAGCGGCGCCGCCGGCTCCACGGGCGGCAGGTCCACGGGCCGCGGCGTCCCCGAGTAGCAAGCCTGGATGACCGGCGTGGCGGCCCGCAGCCCGCGGCCCAGCTTGTAGGGCGCGTAGCCCCCGCGCAGGTGGCAGTACTTGCCGCTGCGCTTCAGCTTCTTCTTGCAAAGGGCCACCAAGCCGGGGATCTGGAGGTAGCTGGCGGCAGCCAGCACAGCACCCAGGCTCTGCTCGCTGCCCGGCTCGCACTCGGCCAGGCGGCCGGTGTAGATGAAGTCGAGGATGAGGCGGAAGATGCCGGGGCTCACCATCTCATGGTCCAGGTTGAGCAGGTTGTCGTGGACCACCAGCGACTTGAGGTAGGCGCTGCTGGCGGCCAGGATGTTCTTGTGCGCGCGGAAAAGCGCGTTCTGCACCACGATGATCACGTCGCACAGGAAGCCCTTGGTGCGCTGCGTGTTCAGCTGCAGCAGCAGCTGCCGCGAGTGGCTCGGCACCTCCATGGCGTCCAGCATCCCGCTCCTCGCCCGCCGCCCTGCAACACACCGGCCGCCCCGTCAGCGCCGTGCCCGGCCCCGCCGGACACGCGGGGGGCTCGACGTGCGCGCCCGGGGCTTCACCCACGCGCGGGGCGGGTGGCGTGGGGGGGGCGGGTCTCAGCCCCACGCACCGCTGAGTCCCGGCCGCTCTGCGCGGCCGCCCGGCCCGTGCCACCGCTTATATGGGGGCTCGCTTCTCGGCGGCTCGGGGGGGCGGGAGGGGGGCGAAAACCCCCGGAGGGTTTTGGAGAAAGTGACATCACCCGCCGCCGCCGCCAGTGCCGCGCCCCGGCCCCGCCAGCCGTGGGATCCCGCGCCCACCTGCCGGGGGAGGGCAGGGGGGGACACCCCGACACGGTGCCCGCCACTCGCCCGCCGGTCCCCGCGCCCCGCCGCCGTCCCGCTCCCCGCCGCGCCTCCCCGCTTCTTATGCGCCCCGCTCCCGGGAGGCGGCCGGCCGGACCCCCCGGGCGCCCCCCGCCCCCGTTTCCTCTCCCCCCCTCGAGGTGAGCGGGGGGACGGTCGGGGGTGTGGGGGGGAGCGGGACCTCCCCTCCCCGCCTCCGTCCCGCTGCCGGTGCCCCCCACCCAGGTGCGTGAAGCCAAGAGCCCGCGGAGCTGCTTTTCGGCTGATTTCCCCCGTATTTCGGGGTGCTCCCCCCTCCTTTTACCTGGGCGTCCGGTGGCCTCCGCCAGCCAGCTGAGGTCTCGGTGAACTCTCATGGCTCAGCCCCGGGGGGGCCGCCGCCGGTTGCTGCTCCCCTCCACCCTCCTCTTCCTCTGCTGCTTCTCTTCCTCCATACCCCGCGCTCCCGGCCGGTCCTACGGAACGGGAGGAGGAGGAAGAGGAGGAGGAGGTGGTTGTGGAAGAAGCAGCAGCGGTTCCTCGGGGTTCCCGACGCCGCCAGCTCGGAGGTGAAACCCGGGCTGCGAACTCCCCCTGACCCCGGCCTGAACTCGGAGCAGCGCCGCTGGCTGTTAAAGGGACGGCGGGAGGTTTTCCTCCTCCCATCCCCGGGCGGGGCACCGACAAGCCGGGCCCCCCCCTTTACACACCCCTCCCTCCCCATCCCGGTCTCCTCCTCCTCCTCCCAGCCCGGTTTTTCCCTCCTCCCGGTCTTCTCCTGCCGCGTCCCGACCGCCCCCTCGGGGGTCTCTGTCCTTGGGACATCGCTCCTTGCCCGGGGACAGCCCGGGAGGGGCCGGGAGCCCCGCAGAGGGGGGGACCGGGGTGTCCCCGGGCGAAGGGCGATGTGTCCCCCCCGTCGGTACCGCTCGGAGGGCGCCATCTAGCGGCTCCCGGTGCGCCCCACCCGCCCGGTACCGGCGGCGGCTCCTCCCCGCGCAGGTGGGACCCGATGGGGCGGACGGGGCTGGGGAGCGGTAACGCGGAGGGGTTTCGCCGGCCGCCCCACCCGGGGGATGGACGCTGATACCCAGAGCGGGGGGGCACCCATGGGCTGGGAAGGCTGGAGGGGGTGACGTGGTTTTGGGGTGCAGGGGGTGGAACGCCGTGTCCGATGAGCGGAGATGAGGGGGGAAAGGGTTCTGGGGAGCAGGGAGGGAAGGCAGACGGGCACAATTTACTGGTGAGGGGGGAGAGCAGAGAGCGGGGGGGGCGCAGCGCTGGCGCCCAGATGTGCGGTGGCGGTGGCTCGGGGTGGGCTGGGGGCTTGTGGTGGTTTGGGATGAGGAGGAGGAGGAGGAGGGGGAGGCAGAGCCACGTTTCCCCCGGCTTTATCCCTCCAGCCGTCTCTGAAAAAGCTGCTGGGCTTGGGGTGCAGCATGGGGTACCCCCCTGGGCGCGGGGGGAGCCGCCTCTCGCTTCACACTTTCACTTCTCCTTTCTCACAGCCGCAGCCTCTTGCACAACCTCCTGGTACAGCAGAGCATCGTGATGGGCTTCCCCAGGCCGGCTGCTAATCCTGGGGTGTCCCGCTGGCACCCCCTGAGCTGAGCAGAGCACCCCGAGCAGTCTCATCACTGGGGCTCTTGGGGTTTCACCCCATAACCCTGATCCCCCGGTGAATGGGAGCCAAGGTGGGGCCCTGGTGCCTGGGACAGGGTTTGGCCAGCCCTGAATTTGGGACACAAAGGGATGGGTGCCGGCAGGGAGGGGGCAGGCTGGTGGCAGCCCTTGCCCCCGCAGCTCAGCATCACTCACCTGCAACTCACCCTCAGATTCCCTTCAGATTCAGCGCGTCCCAGGTCACTGCGGAGACGTCACCCCGGGGACCGGGACGGGGTGTCACTGCCCGTGGGCTCATCCCAGGCTCACAGACTCCCCTCCTTGCTCCCCATGCTGGGCTCCTGCCCACAGGAAGCGCCGGGATCCTGGGAGCGGGACGTGGGCGACCCTCGTTAGAGCCGCGGTTTAATCCCAACTCCCCGGGCACTAATTTCTCCCCCCTCTCCCTTTTTTTTTTTCCTCCCCCCTCTTCAATTAACGGCTGGAAGTGTTTCAGGTTCTGGCAGCGAGCTCTGGACGTCGCTGTGAGCGATGGCTCCCGCGGGCTCCGTCCCGGTAATTTATGGGGCTGAGCTGCATAAATCACGGCAGCGAGCGGCTCCCAGACAGCTGCATCCCCCGGGGCCGGCCGGGACCCCGGGCTGCCCCAGCTACCTGCTGAGTGACGCCGAGCCCCGGGGGCAGCGGCCGAGGGAGGGGATGGAAAAACCCTTCACCTTTTCCACCCTCCTTTGCAGCTCCTCTCCCACTGCCGGCCTCTCCCAGGAGCGGAGGGGCGGATCGGTGCCCGCAGGGGTTTGGGGCAGGTGGAGGGGGTTTTCTTGCACGACTATTCCCCGTCCTGTCCTGCTCAGCCTTCTGCAGGGATCCTAACACAGCACCCAGAGCTCTCAGAACCTGCCGGGTGTCCCCAGGGAGCTGCAGCCCGTGTCCCGCTCCGAGGGACGGGGACGGCCGGGCTGCGGGGCCGCGGAGCAGCCAGCGCCGGGGAGCGGCAGCGCGCAGAAAAAGGGGCATTTTCGCCTCAATGTGCTGAGCAGATTGGAACCAGCTCTGGTTAAGTCATTGGCTCTGTTGGGAGGTCTGAGCTGGAGCGTTTCCCGCCTGTGCCCCCTCCCCACGATCAATCAAAGTTGCAGCAAATTAGCCCAGATGCTGGGAGATTCGGTTCAAATCCAGCTGTGGTTTGGATCGCGTTCGCATGCCTGGCTTCATGTGGGACCTGGGCTTTTGGACAGGATACAGCCCCCCGGTCTCTGCAGGGCCCTGTTTCCCAGCGCAGCCTCTCCCCAAAGCCCACACACATGTCTTCCATTACTGCCGCTGGCCAGCGGGGCCGCATCCGGCAGCGCCAGGAGCCTGCAGCCCCCGCTGGCAGCTCCAGCTCCGTTTTCCCGGCGGTGCCGGGGTACGGCAGCCCCGAAACTGCGCCCCCCGCGCTGTGTGTGCAGGGGGATGTGTGTCCCCTCCGTCCCCTCCGCCTGCACCGGGCTGAGGCAGTGAAACCCGTGACAGAGCTGAGCCCCGGGTCACCGCTGCCCGTCTCCTGAGCTGTCCCGGTGCCAAGCCCTGCCTGCTGCAAAGCAAGGCTGGGGGCAGCCACGGGACCCTGACGAGTCCTCCCAGGGTGCCCCCCATCAGGAAAGGATCCCTGAAAGGCAGCAGGAAGGGCAGAGCTTCCCTGGGCCAGGGTGGCTGCTCTCGGCTGTGCTGTCTGGGTGGCACTGCTGGGGTGGACAATGAGAGTGACAATGACAATCACCCTGGGGGGTGATGCCCAAGGGGTCCCTTTTCTGTAGACCAAGGCTTGATGGGGCAGTGGGACCCTTTTCTTTTGGGGTGACACTGAGAGGACCCTTTTTTGCAAAGTGATACTTGGTCAGACAAGTGATATTTCATGGGGCAGGTGATATTTCATGGGGCAGGACAACCCTTCCTTGTTACCCAGGTGACAAGAGACAGAGTCAAAGAGTGGGAGTTGAGATCAGGAGAGACCTCAGGAAGTCACCCCCAGCCCCAGCAGGGCCACCCAGGGCTGGCTGCACAGGACCTTGCCCAGGTGGTTTGGGTATCTCCAAGGTTGGTGACTCCAGCATCTCCCAGGGCAGCCCAGGCCAGCGCTCCCCTCCCAGGGTGGAAGGGCTCCCTGGTGGCCAGAGGAAGCCGTGGGACTCGGTCTGTGCCACCTGCCCCTGCTCCTGCACTGGGCAGCACAGAGCTGAGTGTGGCTCTGCCCTCTCCATGCCCTCCCTGCAGGGCTGGGTATGCACTGACAGCTCCCTGGAGCCTTCTCTTCTCCCAGCTCTCTCCTCATCGGGGAGATGCTCCAGCCTTTTGCTCTCCTTAGTGCTCCTTCCCTGCACTCTCTGCAGTGTTTCCGTGCTGGGAGCCCAGCACTGGACCCAGCACTCCAAGGCTGAGCAGGGGGAAGGATCCTCTCACTGCTGCCAACCAACACAGAGGAGGACACCATTCACCTCCTTCATCCCAAGGACACATGATCAACTTCCCGTCCCCCAAGGTCCTTTCCAGGGAACTGCTGTCCAGCTGGACAGTCCCTGGGATGTCCCAGAGCTCAGGGATCTTCCTTCCCAGGAGCAGGAATTTGCAATTCCCCTTGTTGAACTGCGGGCAGTGGGATCCCTTCCTTATGGGGGGTGTTTGGGAAGACAGGGGCACCCATCCCTGTGAGGTGATGCTTTGTGGAGCAATGGAACCCCTTCCTTGTGGGATGGTGCCTGATGGGGTGACAGGACCCATCCTCTGCAGGCAGATGAGGATCCTGTCCCTGTGGGTCAGAGTTTGGTGAGATTATGGGACCCCTTTCCTTACAGGTGATGCTTCTTGGGGACAATTTTCAGTCAAACAAGGGCACCCGTCCCTGCCAGGTGTTGTTTCCTGGGGCAGTGGCACCCCTTCCCTGTGGGATGACACTTGATGGGGTGATGGAACCCCTTCTCTGCAGGCAGCTGATGATCTCACCCCTGTGGGATGATGCTTGGTGAAACACTGGGACCTTTCCCTTACGGGTGATGCTTCATGGGGCAGTGGGACCCCTTCCTGTGGCACGGTGCTCAGATCGGCTGAGGAACACCTCCAGCAGGGTGACATTTGGGGGCTTGAGGCGATGAGACCCCTTTCCTTTGAAGTGATCCATCGTGGGGCAACAGGATCCCCTCCTCATGGGGTGACGTCCAAGCAGGTGAAGACCCCACGCCTGCGGAGTCACGATGGCACGACGAGACCTCCTTTCCTCTCCCCCTTCCTCCTTCAACCCCCTCATCCACCACCCCGTTCAGGCGACCTCCCCCTCCCCACCCGCATCAGCGGCTCCTCTCACCCCCTCCCACGGCGGGGACACGGCTGTGTCACCGGTGGGAAGCCCGCGAGATGGCAGCAACGGGCCGCGCTCCGGGACGCGACACCCCCTCCTCGGGGGCCGCGACCCCCACTCCCCGTCCCGGCACCTTGTGCTCGTCGTGGGACCGGGACGGGGAGTGGGGGGGGTCGCGGCCCCCGAGGAGCGGCGGAGCTGCGCAGCCGGTTGCGGGTGGGCCGGCCCCGGTTGCTGACTAATCCCGGGCTGAGTCACGGTTGCGGCGGGGAGCGCTGCGGCAGCGATTCCCCACCTCCCCTTCCAGAACCGGAGAGCCCCGACGGGGCGAGCGCCGGTGCTGCGTGGGGGAAAAAGAAAAGGGGGGACAGGAGGGGGACACCCCCATCTAGCAGGGCGTGGGGAAGGCGTTTTGGGGAGTTCTGGGGGGGTGGCAGCTCCTCGGTCGGTGGAGGATGGGGAGGTGCCGGTGGGGTTAATTCTCCGAGCCGCTCCGCGGGTATTTTGGGGTGTGGGGGGTAAGGGAGTGGGGGGGTCGTGGCTTGAGGCCCCCGTAGCAGCGTGTGGCCTTGCAGCAGCGCGGCCTTGCGCAGCGGCGGATGCTGGCGGGCGCGGATGCTGCTGTCAATGACAACGCCGCTGTTGCTGTGGTTACCGGTGTGATGCTCCGCCAGAGCAGAGTGAGGTCAGACGGCTCCAGCAGGAATGGGGGATGCATGGATGGATGGATGGATGGATGGACGCACAGGTGCATAAAAGGGGGAAAGGATGCTCCCAAATCCCCCTGGATATGACTCTAGGCCCATCTTGGGGGGTGCTGGCACTTGGGACCAAACTTTGGCACCCAAGGGGCCAAAATGAACTCACCCGTGAAGCCACAACCTTTTCAGTAGCACTGATGGTTTTTGGGGGACACAACCCTGGTGGGAGTGAGGGCCAGGCCCCATTGTGAGGCTGGAGGGTCAGGGCAGCACGGTGCTGCAGTGGGTTGCCCACCCCACGTATTCTAAACTCACCCCCCAGCACTGCTTGTGCCATCCCATTGTCCTGCAGC